GAATTTGAGATGAAAGATCTCGGTGCAGCAAAGAAAATTTTGGGCATGGAAATTCAGAGGGATCGCCAAGCTGGCAGATTGAGTTTGGCACAGAAGAGTTATATTGAGAAAGTGCTTAAGCAGTTCAACATGTAGAATTCCAAGCCTGTGAGCACACCACTTGCTGCTCATTTTCGTGTCTTTGCAACTTTATCACTGTAGTCCAAAGAGGAAAAGGAGCACATGTCACATGTTCATTATGTTAGTGCAGTTGGTAGCTTGATGTATGCAATAGTTTGCACTCGCCCTGATATTTCACATGTAGTCAGTATAGTTAGTAGATATATGGATAATCCAGGAAAAGAGCATTGGCTAGCCGTGAAGTGGATTCTTCGGTATTTGAAAGGTACTGTAGATATTGGTTTAGTTTATCAGAAGAGCAATGATAATTTTGGCAATGTTGTTGGTTTTGTGGACTCCGACTACGCTGGTGATTTAGACAGAAGAAGATCTCTGACAGGATACGTCTTTACTCTCTCAGGTTGTGCCGTTAGTTGGAAAGCAACCTTGCAATCTACAGTTGCTGTGATGCCCCTTGGATCCGAGACACGGGTTGATCAGGCCCAGGCCCAAACCCGAGGGATATCAAACAATTAATATTTTAATATGAACACAGAATACAAATTAAATAAGAATTAAAATCTAAGAGCTGAAAGAAACTAAAAGGAAATCCTTGAATCATAATTAATCAAAACCGATAATCCAATACTCCATATGTTTACAACTCGGGAATCCATCCATTGGACCCCTTATTAAAATTCTCAAACCAAAACTGAAATAATAGAAATAAAATCCACAACTATCATAGAGAAGATTCCTACATAATCGGAGGAATGAATATATGTATCTGCTCTACACGTCCAAGCTCTAACCTTGGAACTAACGAACACCTGAAAAATAAAGGAGTGGGTCAAGCCCACATGCAAGTCCTGATCTACTACAATCCAAACGGTAATCCGATACGCAGATACATCCTAGGAAGACTTAACAATATCTAGAGTAGTCTATATAAGTATATAGTACACACTATAGGATGCTCGCTAGTCCAGTAGGTCTGTCTCAACTTGAATAGAAGGCAACATGCGAATACGCACTCTGAGGTGGGCATGAGTACCTAGACCTACCAGGGAATAACACCTATGTCCAGTTATCCATCCTAGGCAATATACGCGCCCTAACCATGGTCATGAGACTCAAGCTCATACCACGGCACCATATAATATATATATAAAATCCGTACTCCTCCTAATACAAAATACCATCCATCTGTGTAGTGGTCTGATATATGTATAACAAATTCATCCTGAAACCTTAATAGGTCATTCAATTCTCAATTGATATGACACAAGTAGGTGATGGACTTAACCTATATGATTAATCCATACCTTAATCCAAGTTAGGTAGAACTTAGTGTTTGAACAAGTCCATACCTAGTATGTCACCGTCCTATACCGGTACATACAATCCTCCAGTTAACGAAGTTGACAAAAACAGGAATAAGTATTTATCAACCATACTCCAGAATTAGCATAAATACAGTTTAACATGTATATAACCAACTTATGCATTCAATATAAGATTTAGAATCCCAATTACAGTCCGTTAAATTGATAAAGTAGAGTTACACAGTCTACCTCTCCAAACAATACCATAACTGATGTAATGTAAAACAGATTTTAACACCAGTTGATCCCAACTAATCATACATATAACTATACCACAGTATGCTTATAACACAACTGCAAAACATGATTTATAAATCCAAGTCATGCAGAGAAATAAAAATCCAAAAATAATAGACAACAGAAATTAATTTTCAAATCATCCACCCACGGGTTCACTGTTTAATCTTTAGATTAATCCCGTCCTCAATTCCTACTTGTAATCATGCTTCCCAACATTTTTACAAGTCTTAAATATTAAATTACAGCATCCAGTAGCTTTTAAATAATTTTAGAAAATCTAATTTCAGCCAAAAGTCCCTAAAACTTCAATTCTGTGCGTTTTAAGATGGAGCAGGCTCTAAAATTTGGAGCCTGCTCTATTTTTCTTTTGGAGTCGGCTCTAAACCACTTAGAGCCGGCTCAAAGACACTTGGAGCCGCCTCCAAATAAGTGTGGAGCCGGCTCTAAGGAATTTGAGAGCCTGCTTTCTTTTCCCCTAGCAGCCGTTGTCCGTTCTAGCTTCATCTTCTCCAATTCCGGTGATTACTAGAGCCTCTGTAGTATGTTCTAATTCTTATTCTAGGTTCAATCTTAGTCCTAAATAATTTTAAACCACTGAGATCCAATCCTAACATGTGTAGGAACACTAGTTTTAAAACAACAATTATAACACCTCTGTTAACCAATTTTAAGCAAGTTGCGACAGATTTAATTTAAATTAATTTAATGCAATTAAATACTGTTCTAAGCACCTGTTCCAGGGTTCAAACTCAGTCCTAGATTAATTACTAGGCAACCATATGAATCGTTGATCTCAATTAAACAAGAAAATAAACATGCTACAAGAGAAACCAACTAACAGAAACCTAAAGAATTTTTTTGATATAACAGTTCCATTCAACGAAGTTAATTATCAGTTTAAACATGCAAAATAGATTGTTTAAGCATTAGTTTAATTCCTGGAGTCTTCCTAAACACGCACAGAACACAGATTAAAGAGATAGAGAAGAACAAGACTGGCCTCTGAGAGTTTGAATCAAAAACTCTAACTGTCGTCTCTATAAATTCTAGCAACGTCAACTAGTTGTTATCAACCTCTGCCATTCCTAGCTAAGACCAGAACTCCTCCCTGAATCCCTCCCTTAATCTCCTAAAGTTTCTCTCTGTAAACCACACAAGCTCCCTCTCTGTTTCTCTGCCCTTACAACTTTCTGTCTGATTCTGTTATGTGACTCTGTTATTGAAGGTGGTGAGTAGGGTTTATCAAACACCCTAGGCAGACGTATACCCATATATTTCTAGAGTTATACTGAACCCTAAATTAATTCAAGCCCTAACTAAATCATAACCGGCCCATTGAACATAATTAAAACCTGTGTCGGCTAAATAAACTAAACCCTAAATTTTAAAACAGTTAATTACACAAGCACGTAATTAAGAAAACTTAAGAAACATAATTAAATAACCAATTAACCCAAAACAGTTTTATTTAAACAATTAATTCACAAAATGCAAATAATCAAGCAAATAATTTATTAACCAAATATTTAAAACAATTTAATTCAAGTAATGCAATTAATCCAGCAAATAATTTTTTTAAACAAACAAAATACAATTTAAATAATAAATTTAGTAAAAACACACATACATAATTAAAATAAATGTCAGGACTATCCTTTTTAAAATTAGGAGTATTACAGTTGCTCTCTCTACTATAGAAGCAGAATATATGGCAGCCACTGAAGCAGTGAAGGAAGCCATTTGGTTGAGAGGTTTGGTTAGTGTTTTGGGTTTGCAGCAGAGCTTAACTGTTATTTATTGTGGCAGTTAGAGTGCGATATATTTGACCAAAAATCAAATGTATCACGAGAGAACCAAACACATTGATGTCAGATATCATTTTATTCGGGATGTCATATCAGAAGGAATTATTACATTGAAGAAAATTGTCACAGCTGAAAATCTGGTGGATATGATGACAAAGTCCATTCCGGCTCTCAAGTTCAAGCATTGCTTGGACTTGGTTGGTATTCTCAAATGTTGAAATTGCCCTTAGGGGCTTAGTGGAGAAGACAGTTTGTTTTGCAGAGATACAGTGGCTTATTTGAATTTTAGCTGAGGTGGAGATTTGTTGACTTTTTATGGCTCAATTTATGAGGTCAGCAATATCATTCCCATTTACATCATTCCTTTCATCATCATCTTGACCTCCAAGCCTTGCCAGCCTTTAAGTGGTCATCAAGTATAGCCTATGCGTGGTCGCCAAGGTGCTTAATCAACAAGCTGTGGTGAAGCTTTCTTGTGTGTGTGGACAACAAGCAGTATGTTGACATTTTGGTTATAAATAGCCTTGATCTCTATGGTTTCAAGGCATCCAACAATTGAGTGAGTTTGTTAGTAAAAAAAAGCAAAGTGTGAGAGAATTTTGGGTGTAATTGGATTTTGGGTGTAAACCACTTAAGTATTGTATCTTTTTATTTTCATAGTGAGATATTGTTCTGTCTTCTTCCAATGGATGTAGGTATACCCGAATCACGTAAATCCTTGTCTCGTTTGTGTGTGCGCTAATTTATTTTCTTGTCATTTATTTTTCTCTTATTCTCATAAACTCCTATTCAATCCATTATTTTGTAACAGGTGATGCTCGTTTGGTTTGCTAAATTTCCTTTTTTCTGGTACCTCTTGTTGTTGGGAAATTATAAATAATTTGTTTGTCTTCTCCTTGTTACCATGCCATCAAACTGTAACGGTTTTCATGAAACCGAACCGAAACCGAACGGTTCGGTTTTGGTTCGATTCTAATCTATACGGTTCCGGTTCCGGTTTTTTTGAAATCGTCACAACATTTTCGGTTCCGGTCGAAACCGTAAGGAACTAAACCGTGTGCATTCCTAACTTTAGCAACTGTGAAATGTTATCGTATTGTCAAGAGTTCACCATCATAGGTGGGTCCTATCTCGTGGCTCAATCTTCACCCTTGATTGGAGATTGTATCGTCAAGAGTCCACCATCATATGTGGGTCCTATCTCATAGCCCAATCGTACATCACCCTCTCTGGCGCGCACACATACATTGTTTGAGGTTGCCAGATTTACACATTTTCAATTAGAAGCAGCAAGTGACTAGTGACTCCTATATCGTAATTAGTCATAATGAATCAGATCCCAGACTCCCAGTCAATGAATTTTAGCACACCAGAGTGAGTGACTATGCAAATTATCTAAGAATTGATTGGTGCATGATGGCCTAATTTTTTAATTAATTAATTAATTTATTTTTTTTGTGTGTGTGTGAAGGTGATAGGCTTCCACTGGGTGCGCCTGCACTGATGATGTCTCCACAAGAAGTGAAGATGGGGATGGTGAAGCCAGAGCTGGTGAAGAAGAGGGATGACAAGTACAAGATATCAAGTAATGATTTGAAGACTTCCAGGGTGAGTATTGTAGTCCCGGCGTGCATGAATCCGCTTGCCGACCACTGGAAACGGATTGGAAAAGGTTTTGCCATCGACGTAGAGGAGACAGAAATGAAAACAAGGGCACCATTCCCATAAAAAACAAGGACTTTATCCCTTTCTTCATCTTCTTAGTTACTATGTTTCTAGACAGACGGGGAGTATATGTTATGTTTTTCCAACTGTTGGTCTATCTTCTAATTGTGAAATTTCCAATTTTGGAGTGAATGAGAAATGCATGATAAATGCATTCTTAATAATTTTGGTTTTGCCATCATCGTTTCATTAAGATTCGTTAAATTGGGTTAATATGCAGAATAATTAGCATGATAAATGCATTCTTAATAATTTTATTGTTTCGTAAAACTCATTAAATTGGGTTAACTCTTCCTGAATATTTGAGAATTAGTCGGAGCGAAATCTCGGATACTTCTAGTCATAAAAAATTAAAAAAAAAAAAAAAACTGGGTTAATATATTGAATAATCTCTATATAAACACATTCTTAACAAAAATTCAACGTAAACGAAATGTAACTTGGGTATCAAAATTTCGGGACATGGGCAGCATTTCTTGGGATGGTGTTTGGAGTCTTTGGACTAGAAAATCATCAGATTTAGAATGAATTAAAACTCAAACTTAATTTGGTTGATATAAATATTTCTAAGAATTATGTGCATGCTTAAATATACAAGAGCAACACAGCTCATCTTGAGCACAATGCTACTACTAATATTATTATATTAACAAGAGAGAGTTGACAATTTCATCATATAATCTATGTGAAGAGTTTTGTTTTTAATAAATATTTTAATCACAATTTTTTTTAATAAATAGTTTTATTTTTTTATCCATAAATAATTGTGCCACCCTGTGTCAACACAAAGGAATAGTTTAATACAATGCATCATTAATTTTCAATCACTATTTTCACTGCTCAATAACTGACCATCATCAAAGAAAAGTCCAAATATATTCTATCAAATTACAACTTATTTAGGGTTAATTACAACAACACTCACAACACCCACTAACATATGCTATATTGACAGTTTTTTAACAATAAGACCTCTGTCAATTTGTAATCCAAACAAGACTTTATTGGTTTTGAAAAGACTGTATTACCCTTGAATATTGAAATCATTTTTATCCCAAAATAATGCATGACAAAATGTCTAATATGCCACAAAATGGCGCCATTTGGTGCCAACGACGACCCACCTCACCTAGCCCCTTTATTTCACCTTTGTCTCTTCCACTAACTTTTCAATCTCTCCAAGTCAAGGCTTTGTCCTTTCTGCTTTCGTTTCTCTATCTTGATCTAAATTTTTATCTGCTGCAAAAATAGAACATTTATTTATGCAAACATGAACCATCATTCAAAGCCCTGGTACAAATCGTGCATATTTTCCTCTTCCTCTTTTTATCGAATTTCTGGAACGCTAAAGTTGGTTACTTGGTATGATCGACCGTTCCGATTCTTGGTGGTTTGTGCTGTGTTGTTCATTTTTTTGTTCTTCACGTTCTCTGTAAGTGATCTAATATTTCCTCTGCTGCATATATAATGACTCAGGGCTTCTTTGTTCTGTACCTTTAGACTTTATCCCTTTCTTCATCTTCTTAGTTGCTATGTTTCTAGACAGACGGTGGGTATATGTTATGTTTTTCCAACTGTTGGTCTATGTTCTGATTGTGTAATTTTCTCACCTTCTCTGCTGATCTTCACTATTAATCATTGAATCACAAAATAGAACCAGATTGAATTGATGTTAAACAAATTTACGTGCAATCTTAAACTAAGTTGGAGGCTAATCCAGCAACTCAAAAGTGAATTCGTAAGGGGCTAAGGGCTAGTCACAAAGCTCCTGCAACAGGAGTTTTACCTTTGGTTTGGTTCCGAAGAATTTGTTTATTTATTTCGGAATATGTGACTTTCAAGTCATTAGTTTTACCAATAAATTTACTGGATTAATATGCAGAATAATCAGCTTGTCATAATGAAATAATCTCAAGATTCGTTAAATTGGGTCGTTTCATTAAGAATCGTTAAATTGGGTCATTTCATTAAGATTCGTTAAATTGGGTTATATGCAGAATAATTAGCATGATAAACACATTCTTAACAAAAATTCAACGTACACGAACTGTAACTTGGGTATCAAAATTTCAGGACATGGGCAGCATTTCTTGGGATGGTGTTTGGAGTCTTTGGACGAGAAAATCATCAGATTGCAATTTTGAATGGATTAAAACTCAAACTTAATTTGGTTGATAGAAATATTTCTAAGAGAGATTTGACAATTTCATCGTATAATCTGGACTGTGAAGAGTTTTGAGTGTCAAAGTGCATATTGAGCACACACTAATGCTACTACTAATATTATTATATTAATAAGAGAGGGTTGACAATTTCATCGTATAATCTGGACTGTGAAGAGTTTTGAGTGTCAAAGTGCATATTTTAATCACAATTTTTTTTAATAAATAGTTTTATTTTTTATTTTTTATTTTTTATTTATCATAAATAATTGGGCCACTCTCTATCAACTCAAAGGAATAGTAGTTTAATACAATGCATTATTAATTTTCAATCACAATTTTTTCTTAAGAAAAAAAAAAAAAATCACTACTCAATAACAGACTCCGATTCTGCGTTTATTTTACATAAGTGTAACTGACTATCATCAAAGAAAACTCCGAAAATATTCCATCGCATTACATTTTTATATATTGGGTTCTTCAGTGACCCATATGCCCAAAATGTATGTGTCCCTTCACATCTGTTTGCTTAGATTTCTAGGGCTTCTCCGATTCTAGGGTTTACTCTTTTCCCACTCGTTAGTATTCATGGAGGAAGTAGCTGAAGCGCAGATCAAGAAGGATGTGTATTCGGTGTGGGGGATTCCACCGGACGACGTGAGGGAGAGGCTGAAGAAATTGATGAGCGGCCTCAGATCGGAGTTCAGTGGGCCCGAGTTTGAGCCCCACGTCACTGTCGTCGGAGCTGTTCTTCTGACGGAGGACGACGCTCGCCAGAAGTTCACCGCCGCCTGTGAGGGTTTGAAGGCTTACGGTGCAACTGTAGTGAAGGTTGCCACTGGGACTTTCTTCTATCAGTGTGTGTTCCTTCTTCTTCATCCTGCGGCTGAGGTAATTTCCATTTTAATGCGTCCTTTGAGTGGAAAAGAATCATTCTTTTTTTTTTTTTTTCCAAAGATAACTCTTGTCAATTTTTCTAAAATGACTCATAAATTTTGTGATTGAATTTCTTGTGGGTGGAACAAATACAATTTTATTATTATTATTTTTTTTTAAAAAAAAAATTCTTAATAAGGCTCATGTTTGGAACACGTTAACTTTGACATTTCACTGAAGAATTGACATTATAATGCATTAAATAGATTTTCCCTCAGTTATATGTTAAAAAAATGGCATCAACTAAGATCGATTATGGAAGGTTATAGAATAAATTGACAATGTTTATGTGTTCCAAACATGAATAATGAGTGCTAGGAAATTTTGGTGGAGAATTTTTGGATCCATTGTTTCTTAGTGTTGAACGCACCTTAACATCCTGTGATCCTAGTGAAATAATTTACTCTGTTAATCGGTTTCTTAGTGTCGAACGAGCATTTTATATGTATTGGTTTAGAAAAGAAAAGATAAATGAAAAGAATAAGAAATTTTTTTTTGTTGAATGACTGATCTCGGCTAGTGAAATAGTTATACATGGTTCATTGGAGTGGAGCCTTTTGAGTTTTTATTTGTAAATGATGAAAACATTGGAGTAGAGCCTTTTGAGCTTTTGATTGTAAATGATGATAACATTGGAGTAAAATTGTAATTTACTCTGTTACTGATCATTCCAGCACCCTGTTGTTATATTCACAGAAATATACCCATATAGGCATAGAGTGATTTCTGCCCAGTGATGTTGAGACTTATAAAAAAAAAAACAAAAATAGTCATATAGTGATTTATTATGACGCCTAATAAGTTGGTAATATAAATTTTCTCATTTCAGGTTGTGGAAGCTAGTAAACATTGCACTGGTCATTTTGGTTACAAGAACTCAACACGTAAGTTCCACTTATTTGCTGTCTTCTAAATTTGTTTTTCTCCAAGCACATATGGTGTCGGAAACCTTTGTCACATTGAGATTATTTTATTTTATTTTTTCAAAAAATAATTTAGCTATGCTTAATGTCTTTTATATCACTGCTGAAAGAAAACAAAGCAGACTGAATTTTTGGGAAGTTATGAGATATTTGTGAAATTAGATTAATGTTCATGCTTAATATAACATTATTATTTATTAGTATCAAGAAAATTTTCATGTATATAGATGTTTTACCAGGACAGGCTCTCATTTGAATTTATTGCCCAAGAAGCTGAATTATTGGTGGTGTGGATTGGTTTATTTTGTTAATGAGCTTAGCTCAATGAGAACACCCCTTCAGGCTACCTGAAATACAATAGTGAACGACCTGTTTTTTTGCTGGTTGGATGTTATTTTGTTTTTAAATAGGGATTGACTTTTAATGGCAGAAGTGGTAGACTCATTTTTTGCCAAAACTCAGTTTGTAACTCTCTCTCTCTGTTTTGAAAATCTTTTTTAAGTTTGAATTACATAATGGTCAGACTCGAGGTTTAGGATTTTGGAATTATTTTGGCTGCAGCAAAGGTTTTGGAGTAGTGTTAGTTGCAGTAGGATCACCAACAAACAGGATAAGTAGTGGTAGAGATATTTTGGCGGGCGCATGTGGTAATGGTGCAAGGGGAAAAGAAGCTTGTACTGTCACTTGCATTGTGCAAATAGACATTGGGAACATTTGTGATTGTCATTAATGGAAATTCAGATGTTATATATTCAATGTGGAAGTAGTGAATCATGTGGTATAATTTCGAAGTTTGGAGCTTTTGCAATAGAGCGGGTCTATCATGACATTATAGCCTTTTTCCTTTCCAATATGTCAAGAAGGTGGTGATAAATTTATAGGTTTGGTGGGAAAAGTCTTCAACAAATCATGTTGTCCAAAATTTTAAAACAAAGAAATAAATAATCTCAATCCATAAAGTTCATATGTGGTGCATCTACTGTAATAAGTATCTCAGGGCTAGGCAACGTTTGCCTGATTGACCAAAATTGGCAAGCTACTTTGACATCTACTCTCTCTCTCTCTTCATTTAGTCATACCTAAAAAATTACTTAACTGGGTTTTCCGCTGCAACTCCACTGCCTTCTTCTTATTAATACATTCTATGATGTTGCAGCTTATATGCCACATTTGAGCCTCCTCTACGGAGATTTAACAGATGAGGAGAAGAAGAAAGCTCAAGAGAAAGCTGAGCTCCTTGACGAAAGCATCGGCAGCCTGAGCTTCCCAATAAATCGCCTTGCATTGTACAAAACAGACACTGAAGACAAATCTCTCAAATCCTGGGAGAAGGTAGCTGAATGCAACCTCGACTCCAATTAGGTGTATAAATGTTTCTATTTTGTAATAATACTTTCTATGTAGGTTTGCTGCATGTCAATCATAATAGTGGGAACTTGACCGAGCCCTAAATCCTAATAGTTTGCATTTATACTCACTTGGGTTATACCAATGGATAGATAAACTCTATGCGTGCTTTCTGTGTCAACTCCTGGCTTCCATTTGGAGGCTGAGAAATATTAAATAAACTTCTGACAAATTCTCAGTTTGGTATGAAGGATTGTTAATTACATTTTGGGTATGAAGGAAATGAAACAGGAACAGGAGTATTGGATGATTTGACTATTATACCCTTGAAAGAATGAAAAATGTTAAATATTGTTTGCAAAAAAAGAGTTAAGAGGAGGAAAGATGCTTCCCTCTCATTTCTGCCCACTTATGTCAAAGAAATGATAGAAAATTTGTCTATTTCTTTGGTAAGCCATCAGCCATGTGCTTCACTAGCTATTCCATGTGATTAGCATGGAAACATAGATCATGTGATGAGCATGACTTTCCGGCTTATCCATGATAATGGGGTGTATAGGTGGATGAGCTACACCCAGCTAGATCAACGAACCTTTGAGCAACTCCATATAAACACTTCAATAAAGTCAAATCCATATCCCAGAGTTCACGTTCTATTACTTTTATTAGTAAATTCAAAAGTTATGTTGCCAATAAGGAACATTGAATGGTACACTTCAGAGTTGATTTCAGATTGTTCAAAAAATCAAAACCCTTATCTTTAAAATTAGGAATATTTTCATAAGGAAAAAATTGCTACCAAATATGTTTTACCATGTTTCTGTTTCAAAATTTTCACCGTAAATTTTTGTTGTCAAACATGTTTTGTTCTCATTTTAAAACACCACATTACAAAACACTACAAAACACAACGCAATCCAAACAGACCCTTAGCAAATAAGGTATCAAGTCATGATCATTGTGTGTGTGCATATATATATATATATATATATGGGAATTGTGAATTAAGTACACAAAAGTAAGACCAAATTGGACCTAGTCTCATGGGATGAATCTGGTTTGATAAGTAGCCGACCTTGTGAAAATTGTGAGGGTTTCTTTCCTTTATGGGAAGTTGTGTTAAATTGGTGGCCTTTTAAACGCTTTGAATTGCCTTGAGAAGAGGACAGAGAAAAGGATTTAATTAGGGTAGTTGCATCATAATAATACGTTTTTATATTCATATAATAATAATACATATTCCTGTTGACATGGAATATTCGTTCGTTGGTGCATTTGCAGATATAAATTCCAAAACGTGTGGGCGTGTTCGCCAATTGGGTTTGAAAGTTTCCACTAGAGTTTATCGGACACGTCACTTGTTTACATTGAAGAATCCAAAAATATGGATAAGAGTATGAAATCTGACTAGCCAAGGAAGAAGTTTCCTATTGGATACGGAGAGCGGCCTCTGTCCAGTTTCTGAAAATAAATGTCCCCACCAATCAAATTTACCCATTCAACTAAATGTGTCAGCCATTTTTATTTTTTATTGCACGACGGAATATGATTGCTCAAGTAGTCTCGAATTACATAATGATTTTTCATGATTATATTAGATTGGAATTTAATTTTGTTGTGTTTGTAGAATTTTTTATATTTGATTTTAAATTTGAATTCAAGAGCAAGTTTTATTGATAATATGAGTTTTTATTAAATGAAGAGGAAGACGAAAATTAACATTAAGGCTGATAGAATTAAAGATTGGTTACGAAGATTACCTAAGACTATGTCAAACATATTTGTTTTTTTTTTTTAATTGTGGGTATTGGGTGGTTAGTTTATTTTATGAATTTGAAAAGAGTATTATTCTTTGTTCAAAAGAACGTATTTAGGGGGGGGGTATGAATTCAATTTTAAATTTCAAAGTATTGGGTCATGAGGGAATTTATGATATGGTTTGATGTCCGTGAAATGTACAGCATATACATGGTTGCCAAATGGTACCTTTTGACTATTGGTATGTTCATATGAAATGAATGGGACATAGATGAGGGTGGCTTGGGAAACTATTAAGATAAGGTGGAGATGAGTTGGCTATTCTATTTTCAGTGTAGAATCTATCTGTAAATCACTTCGTCACCGACCACTACAATTCCTATCATAGCGTCATTCACGCGTTACTGTCACAGACTCACACGCCAAGCCACCAAATTACTCATCCATTTACCTCATAAATTATCAGAAAAAAAAACAAGTAATTTTTTAAAAATAAATATTATAAGAGACATCTTCTTGAGTTACAAAAATATAATAAAAGTAATTTTATTAATTTGTGAGGTATTAACCTAACAAGTATTACCTGTATCAAAAAAATATTTCTTTTAAATAATTGTGACTCACAATTATTTTTAAAAAAATAGAATTATTTTAGGACAAAAAGATTAATATTTTGTTCACCTAAGGAGAGACGAGGAGTTAGAGTCCTAAATGGCGGGGCATTAACTAGTAATTTAGTTGATAAACCAATCGATGATATTTGCAGGCAAGAGTATTTTTTACTACGGAGTATAAAAAAATACTTGGGGTAAAACGGAGCCCACGAATAATAACGAACCAACAACAATTCTTTCTCCGCCGTCAGACGCCGGTGCATGTTAGTTATCACACCCGGCTTCTGTAGATTCCGCGTACGCTAACACCGCAACTCTCACGCGCTCAAAATGAGAGTGAACATCATATACCTTCGCTTCCTAATCAAAATCGTCAACGTTTACCAGCCACTGACAGACACTACAAATACTTGTCCGAACCTCTCCGTTCCGATCTCTTTGTTAGATCTTCCCAAGACCCCACTTCATTCATTCTAAGCAAAACCCCTTTATTTTAGGGTTTTACTAAAGATTCTTTGTCGATCGAACCGTCTCAATTATATCATTTTCAGATCTCAACTAGGGTTTAAGCCTTTAAATTTTCGTAAAAACATTTGTGTTTGCGCTCTAAAAATTTGAAAAACTAGGGGTTAAGTTGCTGAAACACATAAAACATTGTTGAAATCTTGTTTGCTTTCTTGGTGATGGAATCTGCGAACCCTGTGAGGTTTACATTGGGGAGACAGTCGTCTCTGGCGCCGGACCGAGGGCTCGACTCGCTGAGTGTGGAGGACAGAGAAGATGGGGAGGGGATTGATCCGAGGGTGAGGCTGATGTATCTGGCGAATGAGAGAGACTTGGAGGGCATTAGAGAACTATTGGATTCCGGCATCGATGTGAATTTTCGGGATATTGATGCTCGGACGGCGCTCCATATTGCCGCCAGTCAGGGGTTTACCGATGTTGTGGAATTATTGATTCAACGAGGGGCCGAAATTAACCTGAAAGATCGATGGGGAAGCACGGTAAATCACAAAATTCTAGACTCTCTCTCTCTCACACACACACATTTCATAGAGATCTTGATGTGAATATGTGAGTATATATATGTCTTGGCTAGTATGTTTTCCCAAGTAAAGCTCTGGCTGCTCTCAGAAACACATCAATGCATGACAAGCATATATGCTGAGGTGAATAAATGCACTTGCAACCATGTATGCGAAAATTTATTTTGTGATAATTTTGCATCATGAGAATTAAAGATTTGTGCTTGCATACCTCCCCATGAGTCTAGGGGTGGCAAAATTTGACACCGAGCCGAGACACGAAGTTAACAGGTTTGGGTTGACCTTAATCGTGTTCGTGTCAATCCGATTAATTAATTTTGTAATAATTGTGTTAGTTCCACCCAATTAATCCGTTAGCTGTTTGAACCCAATTAGTATGAATATTTTTGTTATTTTAATATAAATTTAATATGAATATTGTATTTGTATTTGTATTTTTTTTGTAATTATATTGTCCAAATTATCCTCATTTTCATGAATTTAGTAATTCATTATGTCATTTTTTCCCATTATATTTGTATTTTATACTTGATTAATAAACTCATTTAGCGTAACCTTGTTAAATAGCTTATTAAAGTGTTCGTGAAGTGTTGTGTGCTACACAACCCATTTATTAAACGGGTTACACGGGTCGTGTTGTGCCATCTGTTTAACTTGTATGGCAGAATATTATTAGGTTGACACGACATGAGGCCAACACGAATTGCCATCCCTGTGCACGACTGATGCAAAGGGCATTGGTTGATCATCATTGACTGAATATCTTTGTTGTTTCTTTGGTATATGCATGTCACTGGGCAAGCTAGGGGGTTTTCGTCAATGCTGTAAATTTTTGTTTTGGGTTTCCTAAGACATGTTTCAGACTTGTGTGCTTGGGTATATCCATATCATTCATCACTCAGTCATATGGGTTCAATTTAATTGTTATTTCTAACTTTCGATTTCTGTTACAAAATCCTCCTGTCCTCTTTAGACAAAAGGCACAAAATTAATGGTTATTTTGATAACCATATAGATATATATTTGGTACTAGTTGAAACTAGTTCTGCAGTAATACCCAAAAAAGGTTTGCAACTCGGGTATGGGCTCTGATCATAATCCCGATTAAGTGTTGGATAATCAGTCATCAAGCTTGAGTGACAACCGTTGGTTAGGTGTGCTTGTTCTTTGGGTGGTTACCTTTTGACATATCGATTATTATTATTATTATTATTTTCAATTGCTTTTTCTCAATGCCCACGGGTCAATCATGTTTAAAATCATCATAGACTGTGGTCTTAGACAATCAGCAATTTCAGAGAATTTAAAAAATAACGTTATATAAAGAAGTACAAAGATTGAATAGTACAGAAGTTGAGCTATATGACCTTTATTTATATGCTTCAAATGTTGTTCTCTTGGGTGCACATGAGATCAGAGTTGGGTTTGTTCAGTTGCTTGGCAAACCTATGCTGTGTTTGATGACATTCAACTGCCTAATATTGCTGCCCTATGGTGGCATCTATGATGTGGGACTCTTCCATTTCATGGTGAAATTCATTTACAGAAGGTTTATCTTTCGGTATATGATATATCCTTGCACCGTAATTGTGCAATTTGGTTCTTACCTGGAATAGAGGCCTTTGCTTATGAAGCATTAGTTTAGATGGAATATGGAACCCAGTTTTATCTTTCTGTACCAAAATAACTCATAGATATAAAAGGATCTTGAAGAATAAAGTGAAAGCCATACTATATGTGGACACTTTTAGGCAACAATGAAACTTTAAAGCATTTTCTATTGTTCTTCCAACTTTTCTATTTTGTATGTGATAAGCTTTATAACTTTCACGTGAAAGACTGAGTCATCTTTTCTTATTGCTGTTTTCGTTATCATTACAATCTAATTTGCTTCAACAGCCTCTTGCAGATGCAATACATTACAAAAATCATGATGTGATCAAACTTTTGGAGAAACATGGCGCGAAGCCTCTGGTATGTCCTATGTGTTGGTTATGTAGGTGGTATGAAATTGTTCACGTTGATTGTTCTTGGATCTTATTGACCTTAGTTTTTTTGTATGTGTCTGCTGTATATGTTATTCATTGGGTGTTATCTTTTTTCCATGATGTTACTACTTAGATGGCTCCAATGCAAGTCAAAAATGCCCGTGAAGTCCCAGAATATGAAATCAATCCCAAGGAACTTGATTTTACAAACAGTGTTGACATAACTAAGGTAAATTGTTATTCCTTTTCTTTTTGATGGCTAGTACAGTAAAATCTTGAATCTCTCTTTTTCTCCCTTATTTGAAATATTTTAGAACAAATTCCTGTTTGCTTCTAAAATTTACATGTGCACAAAATTTGATATCTTCATTGTCATTCTTTTCATGACTTTACTGTTATTGTTAATATTATTTGTGTTGTCTTACTGGTGTCTGTGTGCATTTGCTCTTCTTATGGTGTTCAATTCTCTAAGTTGATGACCGCAGATGAACCTAAATATAGATGATGGACAATGCTTACACAATGACCAGATATTTCAAGTTTAGGAGACTTGTTCCTGATGTACTTAAGTAATACACAGAATGGAAATGCCTTGCTGTGATTCTATACCCTTTCCCTCCCCTCCTTTTTTTGTTGGTGCCGACTGATGTCATTGAGGACAGTTTATGTCTTTCCAGGTCCTGAGCTTTTGATCTGATAGAGAGAGGGCAGTTGCTTGAATGTTGGCAATATATTATAAATATAGGGGACTTAATACTACTGATGTTATAAATATAGGTGATAGACTTGTCTAGCAATGCCTTTATGCTATTTACCCTTTTCAGCATGATGTTATGTTTGGTATACCTAATGATAACCATTACACAATTAAGTTTATCTGTAGTTTTTGGATGCTTTTGGATTAATGATATAAGTTACAGAACGTTGAGGACGACTATAGAACAATATCTTGTGTTGCATGAGGAATTTGTCGGACACTTTAGGGGTGAAGTCCTATGTGGTGTAGGATGGGGAAATTGATTAAGAGTTGGGTAGATCCAAGTGAAGCAGGGAAAAACAAACATGAAATAGGGCAAAGAAGTCCTAAAAGTGTCTTTAGTGAATCAGGGAAAAACAAATATGAAATTGGGCAAAGAAGTCCTAAAAGTGTCTTTCCTTTGGTCCTGTAAAATATTTGAGTTTAGAAGATAATATAGAATTTCTTATGAGTGTTACCGAAAGGAGGTGATGTCGAAATCTCTATTGCAAGAAGGGAAAGAAAGAAGAAGAAAAAAGAATAGGGAAGAATGATGAAAAATGAAAGAAAGACGAGAAGAATGGAGAGAAGGTATTGAAGCATTTGATGTACTAGATGTAATATTTCTCAAAGTGTAATAATAATCCTTTAGTACATAACTGTATTATATTGGCAAACCCTAGGCAAACCTTAAGCAAGAGTTAATTAATCCCTCTGTCCCATAAAAAATAGTCCCTTTCAGGGAGTGGGACTTAATAAGGGGACATGCAATTAATCCATTGTCCCCTTTTAAAATGGCTAAATTATCCTTTTAAGTTTGAATGGGTATGTTATCAAGTTGAAGTTTTTTGAAAACTTAAAGGGTATATATGGAAAGATGCATTTATCTTCTTTTGACTTTTCAAATGGGACAATTATTTTGGGACGGCCGAAAAAGGAAAGGTGGACAATTAAATTGGGACGGAGGGAGTTCTAAATAATCCAAAAGATAAATAGTAAATACCTAATTCCTTAAAAGTAAGAAGAGAAGCAAATAACTAATAAAATAAGCTTTATCTATCCTTGCACCTACACTTTACATAGTTGTGGATCATGTGTGGCGTATGTGCATGGATTCCATCCTGATCCCCATCAGTTGGCTTTTGATACTTCTTGTAATTTTGGAGAAATGGGAGGGGTTTTGGTTCCCTTTCACTTGAATAGAAAGAGTGAGGTAGGATTCTCTCTTCAGGCCCTAAATTCTATGGTAGGTAGGTTTGGTTAAGATGCAATCAGGTCATATTTATTTTAGAACAGGGACGGAGCCTAAATTTGATATAGGGGGAGCAAATTGACATATGATAAAATAATTTTTTAGCAACAGAAAAAAATATGAGAAAACTTTGAAAGAAAAAAAAAATAAGATTTGACTGAAGCAAGGAATGCAAAAAAAATTTTTTTGGGAAGGAAATAAAAACAAAAAAAATTTGAAGAAGGGGAAAAAAAAAGAGGAAAGAATTAGAAAGATTTAAAAAAAAAAAATTATTTTAGTGGGTTATTTCGTATAATTTAATAAACTATATGCATAAAATGTTAAAAAAATTAATAGGCCAGCATGGCCCAGGGGTGCAACTTCGAAAAAAAAAATTCAGGGGGTGAGTGTGTGTGTGTGTGTGTGTGGGGGGGGGGGGGGGGGGGGGGGGCGGCTTAAAATAATTTAGAACTTGGAGTTGAAGAAGAAATGGAGATGAAAAGGAAAGGAAATCAGCGCATTTACACCTGGAGCACTTAAGCAATCACACCTAAAACAGATGCACCTCGAATCACATAGTAGTTGTAAATTTGTAATGCCTATGATCATTTGTTCATTTATGGTAGGATTAGGATTGCTGAAACTTAGTGTGTTTTTTTTGGTTCATTCATTTTAAACTCACCATATGAAACATATCTCAGGGAACCTTCTGTATTGCATCATGGCGTGGAATTCAAGTTGCTGTAAAAAAGCTTGAGGAGGAAGTACTTAGTGACGAGGATAAAGTGTGGGTTGTCCATCTACTAAAAATCGAGCGGTTTTATATTATTTTGTAGTTTCTGCTAAAGTTTTTGGTTTTGTGCAGGAGGGCATTTAGAGACGAGCTTGCTTTGCTTCAGAAGATACGGCATCCAAATGTTGTCCAATTTCTGGGTGCTGTAACTCAAAGTAGTCCAATGATGATTGTTACAGAATATTTACCCAAGGTCTTTACCGCCATTTATTATTTAATTTGAATTGATGATACTTGAAAATTTCACTGATAAGCTGTTTCTTCTATATCCAATATTCTATGCCTTCTGTTTTCGGAGCATTATGAGTGCCTTAGTGGTTCTAACCTTATATTCTCATTAATAGCCAGTTAGCCATTTCTGAGTTATTAGATGGTTCCCATTCTTTATTACTCTTGACCAATTTTGTATACTTAAAATTAAATATCATGGTGCATCCATTTCTGAGTTAAGTAAATCTGTGTTATGTTCTATTTTCTTGTGTTTTGGTGGTTACATTCTCCTTTAAGATAGTCATAGGCATTCATGCTGTTTGACCCTTTTTTGTTTTTCTTAAATCAAATGTTTGCATAACAAAAAAGGCACAAAAAATAAAATATGTAAAACAGCTGATTTTCATTCTAATAGAGAATGAATAGCTTGTCTTGTTTTACAGCATCCTCCTCAGAAGTCTTGTTTTGTTCTTGGATCCTGCACATGGAGCTGGATCCTTGTTAAATCACTTATATCCCATCCTCTTTAAGATAGTTGGGCCTATACTTCCCTTTTTGAGTTTTAATACATACTATGCAATTAATGTGGATGGAAGGTTATTTGTCTTGAAGTAGTTTGTTTCACATATTGTCACAAACTCCTTGTTCTTTTTCTCTCTTAAATGTGATTATCCTAAACGAAGTTTTAAACATCAAAATGTCTGTGCATGCTTTCCTGGCTTTAAGCTAGGATCCTGATACTGTATGGTAAATATGTTGAAGTAATACGGTATTTGAAGGATTTACATCTTAACCATAGCATTCTGTTTCTCTTTTCCTGCTTCTCTGGTTGACAAAAATTTATGTGATCAGCCTCTGAAAGAGAACTGTTTTAGTGGTTCAAAAAATATCTTGAAATCAGTTTCGAAGATTATTTTGTTCTGTTTTCTATCACAAGTAACAATTTCCTATCCTAATCAATATTGCAATGCCTTTTGCAGGGTGATCTTCGTGCATTCCTAAAAAGAAAAAGAGCCTTAAAACAAACAACTGCTGTGAGATTCGCGCTGGATATTGCAAGGTCTTTATCTCTGTTTATATTCTGGACTTGCTTTAGTTAATATGCTACTTTTAGAAGATTGTCAGATGATCTGGTGTACCTCTCCCATTCACCTTTTTCTCATCCCAAACAATGAAAATCCACTTTGTCCCTTTAGTTTTTTTCTTCCTTCCATTTATTTCCTCCTAAAGGGTACCACTATGGTTTCAAGATGATTAGAGTCACAAGCAGCATGGGTGAATAGTGGAATCATCCTAGGATTTTTAATTTTCAATCTAACACCCATTTATGAGATCACACACACACACACACACTCACACTCACACGAGAACATGAAAAATCCTAATTATTTTGTTCATTTATTGTACTCGTATTTTATTAATAATCCATTTCATTTGCACCACAACCCTTACTCTCACTTAAGGCGAACCACACTTCTAGCTCCATTTTAATACTTGATTGATGCAACATGGAATCCCTATCATGGATGGAATCTGCCATTCATTTGCAAAAAGGGGAAGTGGCTAAAAAATGTCTCAACTCTAAAATATATCAAAAAAAATAAACCAATTGTCTTAATAATACTGGTAGATGAAAGAGAAATAAAATAGTTTAAGAGATTGGAAATGGGGAAGACTGTATGATAACATATTGAATAATTTAGCTTAAGTATATGGCAACCAAAAAGATAGATCTTAGGATTTTCGGCATCGATGAAATGATTGCTGCAATCATAACCATCCAATAGGAATAAGAATTAAAGAATAACTCAGTGGTACACATTGTGCTTAGTGGAATCATTTTGGGGGAACTTGTTGTGTAAATTTTAAAACAATGGGGAGAAAACTCAAGTCAAAATTTCTTTTCTTTTAAATGTAGGAGGGTAACTGGTACATGGTATGAAAATAATTGAAAGTCTGTACGATAATATATTAAATAATTTATCTTAATTATGTGGCAACCAAAAAGGCAGATGTTAGGATTTTCGGTATGTATGAGATGACTGCTGCAAACATAACAATCTAATAGGAATAAGAATTAAAGAATTACCCAGTGGTACACATTGTGTTTGGTGGAATCATTTTGGGGGAACATGTGTAACTTTTAAAACATTGGGGAGAAAACTCAAGTCTTTTTTTTATTTAAATGTAGGAGGGTAACTGGTACATGATATGAAAATAATTGAAATGAGCTATGGTTTTGGTATGTTTCTGCAAGAGAGTTTCTGGATTTGTGGGAATCTCTTATGAAGCTTGAACGACTATAAACGCAACCTTAAATTGATACTAGTTTTCCAGATATTTGACCTACTTTCAGAAACCTCACTTACAAATGACTTGCACAAGCTTAGCGAGATTCAAATTGTGTCCATGATTTCTTTGACCTACTTTCTTTAGGTCTCGTGTCTTGGGAGGTGAAAATTTCAAGAAACACCTTGGAGTTCAAGAATAAGCATTTGAAAATGCATGTCTTCTTAACATCATGCTTTAATGTTTCAAGTTTCCGGAAACTCAGTAGTTGGGATTAGGCTTTGCTGAATTGAATTGGTGGACACTTAGTGTAGGAAGTTTATTCAGGATTTGGGTTGTAGCGCCCTTTTTTCGTTTGGGTTACTGTAAGGTGGTAAAATTTAGTTTTATTAGGCAAATGCAGTGTTCAAGCTTATGGGTTGACCCGAATCCATGTCCTGGTATGATCTACAGGAAGCTGGACTTTGTTGTTTTCCCTTACATCATTTGTTGATTTTGCAGGGGAATGAACTATTTGCATGAGAACAAACCTGAGGCAATTATACACCGTGACCTTGAGCCTTCGTAAGTTTTGTTGTTTAAGATGATTTATTATTATTATTATTTTTTTCCCTTTTACTATTTTCCTTCATATACACATGAAAGATGAATGAAGGTTCAATTGAATTACCCTTTTTCACCTTATTGGTGTCTGAACATGGAGAAACTTACTTATGTTATTTCTGAGTAAGATAACAGAAATATATTGCGGGATGATTCTGGGCATCTGAAAGTTGCGGATTTTGGAGTCAGCAAGTTGCTAAAAGTTACCAGCAGAGTGAAAGAAGATAGGCCTGTGACCTGTCAAGACACATCCTGTGAGTGTGCTTCCTTTTTGGAATAATGTTTATCTCCCTTGTTATTGAAATATGTATATAAATGTGCTGAGGCAATGGAACAGGGATTATCTTTTAAATATAAATTTGTAATGATATTGTTGACATAACAACTTTTTGCATTTCTTTGGTACATAAGTGTAGTAGACTTCTTTACATTATCCTTAATTTGTATCAGAAATTAGCAATAACTAGGAGTGTAAATTTCCTTCGACTATCTAATTTTTTCGATAGAAACGCCAGATTATGAAATTATAGTTACTGAATTATGTTTATTTCATAAACAGGCAGATATGTGGCTCCGGAGGTTTTCAGAAATGAAGAGTATGATACAAAAGTGGATGTCTTTTCTTTTGCTTTAATTTTACAAGAGGTGAGGATTTATCATACTTCAAATTTTTTTTTTGTCTTTCGTAAATGTGTTTCAGAGAGGTCTTACTTCCTGTGTTAGAATTTAAAGCATGTACCTTTTTTCCTTTGTATGCTCAATAATTTGCACGTGGTTTTTTCCCCCTCAATGTTAGTTGATAAAAGAACATCATAATTTGGTTGTGGACTTGTCTATGCAATATAATTTGGTTGTGCGCTTTGGTTTTTCTATGAAAGTCATGATATTCCGGTTTTATGATCGAGTGAAGTATTAAGATGGTAAGCATATTTCTGATTGATGAAGAATTTTTCTGTCTTGCTCATTATGAAAAAATAAAAAACTGCCATACTTCCAATATAGGTTAATGTTTCCATGGTTGATGTTCATTTCCAATTGAAACTAAATTCTACTATATATGATTGTTGACCTAATAAAATACGTTACATACATTCAATTACTTGACTAACTTATTGAAAAAAAAATGTAGTACTTAGTAAAAATGTAGTATTTAGTAATTCTATATTGTACATACCACTTAAAACGATTGTTAAACAAAGTACTAAATTGATAAAAAAAGAAGCTGATTCGTTTAGTTTACCTGTAAAGTTGAATAGCTCTGTACTTGTAAACTGATAATATAGTTATTCCACGTGTGGGCTAGAAGAACTCAACTGTTTACATTTTACAATCTATTTCAGTACATATGAAGCACATTTACCGAAACGCTGGCATGTGAGGCTTATCAATAATTCAATATCAGTGTTACTCTTCCATACTTACTTTGTTTAACAATATAGAATTACTAAGTACTACATTTTTCTGTTCTTTGGAAACAAATAGTACCTGTTTTTGGTATTCTTTCTGTAACAGTTAAGATGGTCTTGGAATATGGTTGGAGAAAAAAGTAAAATAACTTGATACTTAGAAAATTACAAATCGGGATTCTGGTACTTGTGAACTCGGTAGATATTCCCGTCTTCATTACTTTCATGTCTGTATTCGTGCTGTTCCGTGTAGAGCTCATTTTTTTGTGTCAAATGTTCTCTCTTTTTCGTTGTGGTTCATTTATAATTTTATAGTTGAAACTTGAAGTTTGTAGTTGTGACTATAGTTGATTGGGTTTTTATGAAATGCTATCTTATGCTTTTCAAAAAGTTCTATACGTCCTAACAGGTTTGTTAAGTTGACATTTGTAATGTCTGCACTTCAGATGATTGAAGGCTGCCCACCATTTGCCGCAAAGCAGGAAACTGAAGTCCCTCAGTCTTATGCTGCGAAAGAGCGTCCTCCTTTTAATGCACCAACAAAGCGTTATGCTCATGGACTAAGAGAGTATGTCCTATATGTTTCAAATGTTTTTTGTATATGAGATTTTTTTCTTTTGCCTGTAGTAAGTGATATTTTATTGAATTATTTTATTGCCTTAGCTTTGTATAGCATGCATCTTTAGATACGCCTCTTTTTATTATATGTAATGTACTTTCTGCCATAATTGTTTGTTAGTTTCAAGAATAGAAATGCCATGACTTGAATTGTATCAGATGCCAGTTGGTGAAACAAGATACATTGTATCTTCTTGTTTCATAATGTGTGTGTGCTTGTGCGTGTGTAGATATGTTAAATTACATGCATGTTGCCGTGTATACATAAATGATATAATATGAAAACTTTTAGCAAAAATAAAAGACTATAACCCAGTGTGATCCCCGTAGTATAGTTAAATTGCTTAAATGTCGATAATGACATATAATGCATCAGTTCCTGGACAATCTTTTTATTAATAAAAAAATGGATGCATGCAAAATATTAAAGCTTGAATCATTAAAATGTCATGTTGGTGCCCTTTGATTGATTCTCCTGCAAATTTAATCACCTGCCTGTTAGTGAGTGAAATGAGCTGGACCTCAACATTGATTTTTAAAAGGTTTTACAATTTATTGTTTTTTGTTATTTTAAGGAGTAATATATTATTAAATATCATGACATGTATTTATTTCGTCAGTTCATCAATTATTATGGGGGCAGGAGCTCTGAGACCTTTCACATCCAATAGACAGTTGTCCTTATGTTAGTTATAGCTTTATCAAGCAGTTGCTCAGTCATTCTGCATGTCACTGATACCCCTTTTCTTTTCTGAAGCATACCCATCTATTTTAGAACTTCGCCTTATGATCGATCAGATGTGATTTCTTGTTCTCTGTAAACATGCCTTGTTTCCTGCAATTCAAAATTTTCAGACTTATATCCTGGTTTGAATGGTTGATATAGTACGGAGAATGGAGTAGAGAATCCAAAAGCCAGTTCAATGGCATGTATTTCACTAGCTATCGTCTTATCTCTTCTAAATATTAGTTATAGGTGATATGTATGTTTTAAGTCATTTTGTCCCCTAGTAACTTATGTTGATTATTAATTATTTTCGCCCCAAGAAACTTCACTTCCGAGTGACCCTGATCTAGTAATTACTTGGACCGTAACTGTGAACTCATGGACACCCATATTAAATAAAATATAAGCTGTTACAACTAGATTTTAAAACTGACCCAATTAATTCTACTTGCAGTATAGCTATTTTTTTTTTGAATGACAAAATTAATATGTAAGGCAAGTAATGCTTTAATAACACTATTTGTTTGCTTTGGAATAATAAAATCAACCGTCCTAGCATACATAACATTGCAGTTCTTAATATATCCCAACGTAAAGTACCGTTGTTACACATAAGCTAGAGTTGTTACATAACCCCAAAATGGAGGCTCCTGTTTATTTGATGGACCTGGTATTAATGCAACTCTTCCTATTAAATTAAAATATTCCAACAGAATATTTCTCATATTTTCTGTCTTGTGCTTTCATAATGCATGGGAATCAACTTTTAATATGGAAATTAGAAATACAGATAGATTTCTTGATATTCATAAAGAACATTATATATGTGGTGTGTGTGTTTTCCTTTGTCATTTTTTTTCTTCTTCTAAAGGCAATACCTAGCCTTGTCTAGATGCTAAAAATTAGGATTCAAATATTTAGACTTTATTTTCACCTTTCGAGAGTTTGACAATTCTTGTTTCTTAGAGGAATGTTAAGATCATCCAACGTTGGGCAATATCTTCTTGTTGCAGGTTGATTGAGGACTGCTGGAATGAGACGCCAGCCAAGAGACCGACATTTAGGCAAATAATCGCTAAGCTGGACACTATCTATAACAGTCTTGGTCACAAGAGACGTTGGAAGGTTCTTCTCTTTCTTTTCCTCCTTCATGGTCTGTGAGTGCGCGCGTGCGCGCACGCATGTGTGTAAAGGAGTTGCATTTCTGTTTGCAGCACTAGTCACAGTAGCATTTGATTAAATCAGGACCTTCATTTATTTATTTTAATCTCGTTGTTGGAAGGGATCTTTTAGGGGTCATTGCTTGGTGCAGTATTAAAAATGTGAAGTCTGAGAAGGTGGATTTGAGTTTAACATCCACTTGATACAACTAATACCAAACTTAGGTGTAATTAATGGGGACAAATGTTGGGTGATGGCTTTGTTTAGCAAGCAGTCTTTGGTGGAACACTACCAATTGGTGGTTTTCTTATTTTGGTTGGACATGGCTTGAAAGCTGCACCTCAAGAAAAATCAGATCCCAATAGTTGATTTGTAAAATGGACAAAACAATTCATGAAAATTGATAGGCCCTTTTGTGTTGGTTTGTGTAGAGGTTATGGCGGATCCTTGGATCTTTAACTGTGCTCATTTGCATGAGCCTTTGACTTTTGTTGATCAACTAAAACTTTTTCTTTTTGTTTCCTTTTTTGGTTCCATGTGATATGTACAGGTTAGACCCTTGAAATGCTTTCAGAATCTGGAGGCCATGTGGAAGAAAGACCATTCCAGTCCAAGTAGCCGCAGCGGTTCATCACGTTCTACAAGAAGCATATAAAATAAAAGGGTGAAGAAGTTTCTCTTTTCCCTCTTTGTAGAAAACTAAGCTTTTTTTTTGTAATTACGGAGTGTAGTTTCTTTTGTGTTTTTCTTCTTATAGGCATTGGTATTCTTAGTGATTTGTCAACCCTCCCTAGATTGGGCTGGGTACAAAAATTGATGTGTGTATTGTCTGAAAATACTGAGACTGTTTACATATGCTATCACATTGTTTGATTTTATACATTTTTTTGTTTGGACGAAAATTTTGCTAGTTCATTTGGGAGGCGAAACTTCATTGATGAACAGTTATGTAATGTTTGATACTGCAATGAAATCCACCTCTACCTTCAAATTGATATGGCAGAAGCAATTACAAGGATTGTTTGTATAAGTTGCTTGAATACTCTCTGCAATCAATCTATTGGTTCAGATTATTTGATATTTATCATCCTCTCCGTTTGTGTGTTTTGTTGAATAATCATTTATGAGGATGAGCATTTTAATGGCTGTGCATATGCCTCAACTGGAGCTTGAATCTTCAAACTAACCTTTAGACTACCAACTAAAAAAAACATAACTTTTTGGATGTATTCAGTTGTATGGAATTGGAGCCTTGGAATTGAAATTTAAATTTGTGGAATTTGAGAAATACAAGTAAAAAAATTGAATCAATTTTTTTTAACATTTCACCAATTTCAATTTCAAAGTTCCAATTTCGTGCACCAAACACACCCTTGATAATGGCCACCAGAATGTTGTTTAATGGACCACCTTTTTTAATCTTCCGGAAATTGTTTAATGGACCACCTTGTGTGCTTACATGTTTTTAGATGAATCATGTGCAAACAAAGTTTTGTTGGAAGCAACTTTAAGGAAAAAATGACTTCTAATGTCCACCAAATGATGTTGAATTGATGCTGGGAAAAATGATGAAAATCAATATTAACCACATGTTTTTTTTCCGAAAGATTGATATTAACCACATGTTTGTTGCATAGTAGTGAAATATTATAATTACTTATGTATTTATATTTAAATCTACCGCGTCTATGTCTATTATGATTTTCTCTATCTATAAATGGTGACAAATCCTTAATGAGTTATCAAAACGAAGCTTTATGTTTCATGTTAGCATTTGGAATTTATAATATCTATGGTGAAAAATGCCATGGGGAATTTAAGTGATTTTGAAACACATTGGACCAAATTAGCCCAAATGAATATTTTGGGCGGGGCCAAACCCAGGACAAAATCTTAAAATCTGACATGACAATTAATTAATTTCTCTAATAATGAGCTGTTGTGATTTTGTAGACTTTGATTAGGTATTTAATTATATGGAAACTTCAAGAATACTAAATTTTAGAGAAAATTCAGTTTCCTGATCTGGTTTAACTTATTTTGTTTAAGTAAAATTCAGTTTTTTGATTTGATTTAACTTCCTTATTGGTTTTGGATTATACAAAAGGCAAGTTCTTGTAGGACAAGTTTGAGACTCTATAAATATCAACTCTAATGAGATTTTAGGGTGTGTGAAAATTAGAAATAAATTTGTACCAATACAAGAGAGAGTAATTGAGATAGATTGAGAAAGAATTCTCTATTGTAATTCTTCTTTTTTTTCATAGTGAATTTGTTCGGTGTGCTCCATGGACGTAACACTAAGATTTGGGTGAACCATGTATATTTTGTGTTATTGTGTGTGATTTTTTATTTTAATTTTTCATGATTGCTTGTTTATTCCTTGAACAGTATTGTTTATTTTGCGTTTCCGCCACAACAATTGGTATCAAATCCAGTTGATTATGCAGTGCAACTCCAATAACTGGTATCAGAACCTTTAGTTGGAACTTAGGGCACAGAAGGTGTTTGACGAAATTCTGAAAGTCTTTCGATCAGATCTGTCCGTTCGAGTGGGAGTAATGGCATCAGAAGATAAGACATTCACATCTATGATCGAGAAGTTCGATGGCACAAACTTCAGTTTCTGGAAGATGCAAATTAAAGACCTCTTGTTTCGGAAAAATCTGTATCAACCTTTGGGAGAGAAGCCAGATGATACAAAGGATGCGGAATGGGAATTACTTACTAGGAAGGCTCTCGGCACCGTCAGATTGACGCTGTCAAAATCAGTCGCCTTCAACATCAAGAACGAGAAGACGACAATGTTTCTCATGGCAGCCCTTTCTAGTGTGTATGAACAGTCTTCTATAGCGAACAAGGTGCACTTGATCAAGAAGTCGTTCAACATGAAGATGGTCGAAGGTGGTAAGTTCAACGAACATCTAAATGCGATCAACGAGATAGATGGACAATTATAGTCTGTTGATATCGACTTCAAAGATGAGGTCTGAGCACTGCAAATTCTAGGGCAGTTACCCGAGAGTTGGAGTGGCATAGTTACAGCGATTAGTAGATTTGCAGGGAAGACTAAGTTGAAGTTTGATGAAGTTGTGAGCATGATTCTGACTGAAGAAATTAGAAGGCAAACAACAAGGGTTTCTACTAGTGGTTCAGCGTTAAATGTTGAAAGCAGAGGCAAGGGTTCAAACAAAAAGAAGGGCAACGGTAATAGAAACAGATGCATATCCAAGTCAAGGAATGGAAGAACACAGTCTCAAAATTTGAAGAATTCCACAGATCTCAGTGACGTTGAGTGTTGGAATTGTGGAAAGAAGGGACAATACCGTGTTGATTGCAGACTTCCAAATAAAGGAACCGAAATAAAAACTGAAGCAAATGTTGTCTCAGAAGAATCAGATGATGCATTGATATGCTCTTTGGAGAGCAAGACGGAGTCATGTGTTTTAGATTTCGGTGCATCGTTTCATGGCACCTCAAGCAAAGAGCTATTTAATAGTTATGAATCGAGTAACCTTGGCAAGGTGTATCTTGGTGATGATTAGCTTTGCAGCGTCGTTGGAAAGGGTGAAGTGCAAATCAAGTTCAATGGATTAACTTGGAAGTTGAAGGATGTGAGATATATCTCTGACTTAAAGAAGAATTTGATTTCGGTGGGGACAATTATCAGATGAAGGTTTTGTTACAACCTTCAATGGAGACTTGTGGAAATTAGTTTCCAGAGGAGCTATGACCATTGCACGTGGTAGTTTCTGCAACTGTTATAGACCCACAAGCACTGGTTCTTGTGACTTCTATGAGAGTTGCGTGATAGGCAAGCAGAAGAGTGTGATACTCCTTGATTCTAGAGCCACGGGTGATCAAGTCCGAGTACAGATCCGATGGATACTAGATAATTAATATGTAAACAAGTAGGAATACAAAAGAGAATTAAAGATATAAATAATAAAGCTGAAAGAAAACTAAATATTAAAATCCTCAAAAGTTAAATAATTATAAATAATCCGATAATCCAAACTTTCTAAAACCTCCAATAAACATACAACTCGGAAATCCATCTAGTGGACCCCTAAAAATACCAAAAGAAAGTAAAGTACGGAAATGAAATCCAAAACTAAAACATGGAAGAAAATCCTACATAGTCGGAGGAGTGAGTGACTGTATCTGCTCGGCACGATCAAGCTCTAAGCTTGGAACTGACGAACACTTGAAAAATAAGAGTGGGTCAGGCTCACATGTAAGTTTTATCCTACTACAATCTATACAGAAACCCGATACGCAGATATATCCTAGATATCTCAACAACAACTAAAGTAGTCCATATAGGTATAAATACACACTATAGGATGCTCACTAGCCTATAGTTCTGTCTCAGCCTGAATAGAAGGTAACATGCAAATCACACATCACGGTGGGCATGTATACCTAGACCTACGAAGGAACAAAACTATGTCCAGTTATCCATATAAGCGATATACGCACCCTAACTATAATCCTGAGACTCAAGCTCATATCACGATACCATAAGTATATATATATAAATAATTCATCAAAAGTAAGATATGTCGTTCAACTGTTTATTGACTTGACATAAGTATAAGTAAGACTTAACTTTTATAGTTAATCCAACTTATTTCAAAATAGGTAGGCTTAGTGTTTTAAACGAATCCATCCCCAGAATAGGTAGGACTTAGTGTTTTAAACTAATCCATCCCTAATATGCCACCATCTCATACCGGTACACATACATATATATAAGTAGGACTTAACTTTTATAGTTAATCCAACTTATTTCAGAATAGGTAAGACTTAGTGTTTTGAACTAATCCATCCCCGGAATAGGTAGGGCTTAGTGTTTTGAATTAATCCGTCCCTAGTATGCCACCTTCCCATACCGGTGCATACAATTCACAAATCAAATGATTGATGCAGTAAATGATAAATTTAATCATCAACCACACTCCAAAATAAGTATAAATAAAGTCTAATATGTATATGACCATAATATGCATCAAATACAAGATTTACAAATCATGTTCCAGTCCTTTAAATTGCTAGAATAAGACTACGCATTTAATTAAATCTCCAAACAATCCAATAATTGATGCAAATTACAATAAATTAAAACATCAATTAATCTAATCTAAGCATAATTATTTTAAGATAATCAATTACACTTATAACACTGCTAAAACATGATTCAACGCTATTAAATCATGTAAAGAAGAATTGTTAAATTTCAGTAAGCAATTAAATCAACTATCCAATACTCCACATGCAAGTTTACTGTTTAATTTTATGATGTTCCATTCCTTAGCATATTAATGTAATCATGCTTCCCAGTATTTTTATAGGTCTATAACAGTTATTTAAATCATTTAGTGCAATTTAAACAACTTAAGAATACCCCAGATGGCCAAACAGAACCCTAAAAATCAATTTTTGCGCGTTCCAGGGCGAGAGCAAGCTCCCGGACTTTGAGAGCCAGCTCTCCCCACTTGGGAGCCGGCTCCCCACTCTTGGGAGCCGGCTCTAAGGTATTGGGAGCCGGCTCCCTCCATGTGGGAGCCGGCTCTGTCCATGAGGAAGCTGGCTCCCTCCTTTAGGGTCTCCCTTAAGAGCCGTATTCCGATTCTATTTGTCTTCTTCGTCTCCGACGACATTGCAAAACCCTCTGTAATGTCTAATACAGTTCCTAGGGTTCAATTTATGTCCTAAATAAATTAGAAGAATGTGTCATGAATTACCGAGATGAATTAAAACAAGTTTATAATCAATGAACACAAGATTTAATTATGAAGATCAGTCAACCATAATACAGATTAATTCCACACAGTTAAATTCAATTCAAGCATGCTTAAAACATATATTTTAATATTAATTTAAACCCTAGAGTCTACCT